ATAGGGCATAAAATTCCAGTAAATAAAATATTTGAAAATAAATGCTTTATTTTGATAAAATAAACTTTGGTAAAATATAAAATAAAATATTTGTCATTTCAATCACATAAAACATGAAATGGAATACTTCCTGTAGTTCGTAACCTGAAAATAAATTGTGGAAATGATTAACATAACGTAAAACGCGATAACGTAAGAAATCATAATATTTGCTGATTAAAATTGCCTTTTCAAATACAGCATATTTGCATGGAACAAAATGCATCAAATATGTATGTTTATAATGCAGAGGAAAAGTATTTCGCTTTAGATTATCAAATTAATATTTTATTTGACGAAAATGCATTAAATGAATAAAATATTCCGAACTATGGCACAAATAATATATCAGGAGAAACGAAAGAAGAAGAGAGATAGATATTGAAAAATTAAGTAGCTGCATTATATAGAAAAGCGTAAACATTGAATTTAAACATTTTGCTAAAAGTTTCAAAATATAAAATATATTTCATTTGCCCATTTCTCGTGTTAATCTAAATAAACTGGCGTAATGAAACATTGTACTTTATCCAAGGCTTAATTAGTCCTTTAATAATTTACGAATTTCATTCTTGTTATCCATAGAGAATTTACGAAATTCGAGATTTCCATGGAGAACCGCGCGCAGGCAATAAGGAAGGAAGAGATTTGGTGGTTTGAGAACCGCTGACTAAATTCAGTGAATTTATGCGGAATATTAAAGCGTGCGTCACTGGTACACGAGACTTAACTCGTCGTCGTTATCCGTCGCTTTAAAGCAATGAAATTTCAAGGCGAGAATGGTTCGGCAATCCCGAAGTGAAAACCGCGGCCGACTGGTTGCGTACAAACCAACGAAATTTCGTCCGTAATTTTATTCATCCGAGTGCATAGTATTTATCGTCTCGCCGAGGAACAGTCCATTTATGCTCACAAATTTTGAGTACAATATGTATTAATACGATGCATTCACAGCGGTACGTTCATGGGAATTCAGAAAACAACGTTATGTACATTATAACTGTAAAACACACTTTTATTTTATAAAACACAAGTTGCGAATTTTTATGCAAATAAAAAGTTTGCAGTACAATATGTGTTGACCCTTTGCACTCGAATGGCGACTCTGAAGCACCACGAAACATTACTATATCATTTTTCAAAGTATTTCATACATTGTTAAATTTATACGTTTAAAGAGTTCTTAAAAATGTAAATATTGTACGTGCAAATAATCGCAATTTCATATGTATACAACACAAAAATCATACGTAATGAAAATACTATACGTTGGAAAAAATATCTTAATTTTTAAGTTAAAATAGCTCGGAGTGCACAAAGGATTAATATATTACATTTACAGCGATACATTCTGAAATTGTTCAGAAAACAACGTGCATTATGATTGTGAAAATCACTTGTTCGACCTATGAATATTTATACAAATAAAATGTCTGAAGAAGCTAGTTTATAATCTAGGTTGAATAGAGATTTCATTAGAATGAATTTTATTGTTAGAACTGCTATACGAACTGCTATAGAAGTATTAATTATAATTACCTATGTTGTCATCGATTTTTATGGATATTTCACACTTTATGTTTATTGAGATAGTAATGTAGGAGTGCCAATATCGATAGTTGCACAAGGCTATGTAAACAAAGCAATTAAATATTACCATCTATCCCACTTGCTTAAAATTGGCACTTTCAACTAACGCATTTTCATTCCAAGTCACCAACAGTCTGTAACGTGATTACAATAAAAACAATTCTAATGCCGGGTGCACAACAACAACCGGAAGTTGGCGGCAGTGTTTTGAAGAGTCTGACTGCGCTTAAGGACACCGGCATTCCTAATGGATCGATTTGAATCGTTAATACTGAGCTACGTGTTTCGACCGAGAATTTCAGAGAAATTAGACTTACAAACAAAGTCACTATTTAAAAAAATAATTTGATTAGATTTAATATATTAAATAAATATAATAAAGATTATAATAAAGATTAATATGTAAATTAACAAGATCTGATTTAGCATTTTTATCTGCTGTTTACAATGAGTAATCTTTTTAATTGACGAAAGCAACTCTCCTCTAATTTCAATTTTTGTGAACCGATGTCCGAAAATTTATGTAAAGATTCGCAGTTTAATCCCGAATAATATATATAAGGAAACTTTTTAACAGTTTATAAACTTATTCCTAACTCATTAATAAGAAAGTTCATACGTGAGTTCTTAACGAGAAAGTATATAACTGATAACAAAGTAAAATTGGTATCAGATTTTCCTTTCCGTTTTATATAATAAAGATATTGTCTTGAATAATTAATGACAAGAGTTTGATTGTGATCGCATACCAAAGCTATACATATGTATGTATATTGAAATCGGTGCAAAATCAATGGTATAACGTACATTTTACTGACATTTAGTAATTAATATAAATTCTTTATATTATTATTATAATTAATTAGTAACTTTATTTTAGAGGCAAGTGTTATTGGATTATGGAGTTCATCAATTTACGAAAAAAATAAGCAAATGAAATTTGATACAAAAGAAACACCGGACCGCAGATTTTATGAATTTGTAACAAGAATGAGCACATGAAACTTGAAACAAACAAAAAACACTGATTACATACCGCTAAACAACAGATTTTATATCTAATATTTTATAGTGAAATACTAAAATACTTAATTACTTACTAAGCTTTGATGACAGAAATGAATAGATCAAAAGCAAACCACCAAAATCATTTCAAGGAAAACTATTGTTGTATTATTTTTAGCTAATTAAGAATAGTAATTGTGAGAAATATAATTTCACGTGATCAATGTACGATCGATATCGGGCCCCGAAGACCCCTGATTACAGCCCTGCGTGTGGGCGCATGCGCGTGTGACGAACGCGTGAAGAAAGCGATCGCCGTGTGTTCAACATGGCCACGCGGCGTCTACACGTGCTTCACTTTTGCTTACATTTTCTTTATTATGAAACATATTTCGTTTAGCCGTTTTTCGTTTTTTCGCTTCAATATTAGCTTAGTTATCACTAGACCGCGGATCTCGATGCAAAATAAAAATTGTCTAAATTAATTTTAAAGAACGCAAGTCTCATGAGACTGTCCTTTCTCTATTATTGGGTTGGCAACTAAGTAATTGCCGATTTGTTCAATGAAATAAACAATTTTTTTTTACTTGGAATGAAGTTTAATCTGTAATATATTTTCCGTTTTGTTCGATGACCTTTTGCCATCTCTCTGACAACTTGAAAATTCCACGCTCGTAGAAAATCTGATCCTTTTCGGCCAAAAACTGAGTTAAGTGAGATTTTACAGCGTCATCGTCATTAAAAGTTTTACCACGAAGGGAGTTGTCCAGGGATCGAAATAAGTGGTAATCCGATGGCGCGAGATCAGGGCTATATGGTGGGTGTAACATCAATTCCCAACGAATATCCATCAATTTTTGCCGAGTGGACAAAGACGTGTGCGGCCTAGCATTGTCCTGGTGGAAAATGACACCTTTACGATTGACCAATTCTGCTCGCTTTTCCTTGACCGCTGCATTCAATTTGTCTAGTTGC